AGAGTGCTCGCCTTGAGCTGAAGAGCTGAGGGACAGTTCCCAGGCCCAGAGTTCAGGCCCCACGACTGGACCAAACAAAAAAAAAAAGAAGGTCAAGTCTGGCACTGCCTCCTCCTCCTCCCCCCCCCCCGTCCTCCTCCTCCATCCCTTCCTCCTCCTCCTCTTCCCCCATCCTCCTCCTCCCCTTCCTCCTCCTTCTCCTCCCCTTCCTCCTCCTCCTCCCCCATCCTTCTTCTCCTCCCCTTCCTCCTCCTCCTCACCCCCTCCCCGTCCTCCTCCTCCTCCCCTTCCTCCTCCTTCATCCTCCTCCTCCTCCCCTTCCTCCTCCTCCTCCCCTGTCCTCTTCCTCCTCCCCTTTCTCCTCCTCCTCCTCCCTTTTCTCCTCCTCCCCCCTTCCTCCTCCTCCTCCCCCCTTCCTCCTCCTTCTCACCCTCTTCTTCCTCTTCCTCCTCTTCCTTTTCCTCCTCCTCCTCCTCCCCCAGTTCTCCTTCTCCTCCTCTTCCTCCTCCTCATCCTCCCCCTTTCTCCTCTTCTTTCTCCTCTCCTAGTCCTCCTCCTCCTCCCCCTTTCTCCTCTTCCTCCTCCTCCTCCTTCCCCCCTTTCTCCTCTTCCTCTTCCCTTCTTCCTGCTCCTCCTCCTCCTCCCTCTTCCTCCTCCTCTTCCCTCCCCTCCCCCCTCCTCCTCCCAACTCCATTTCATGGTTCCAAAGCAGCACAGTGTCCCTATGGCTAGACAAGATTCAAAGGTCGGGCTGCTCAGCCAGGAAGCCCCCCGGGAGGGACGGACGCCAGGCCGGCTCTCCTGAGCTCAGCCCAGAAATCAAGAGTCAAACGGGGTCAGATTCTGCCCCCTCCTTCCCCCCCCCCCCGGGGGACTGGAGACCAGCAGCCTGCACTGAGTCATGACTTGTGCGCTTCCATGGGGAAGAGAAGAAATGTGCTTCGTCAGAAGTTCTTGGAATGTTCCAGAAAGATGAGCAATTACCAGCATGGGTCACAGACTGCCCCAGGCCTCCGAAGCGTGCAGGCCGGGTCTGTTTTCCCTGGGGACTCGGGCCTGGCTCCTGCCTGATCCCTAGGACCTTGGGGGGGGCACAACTCAGAGACTTGGGTAGCCTCAGTGGTACAGAGAGGGACATCCGTCCAGAAAATTAGGGGCGTCCTGCCTACAGAGCCCCCTGTGGAGAAAGGGCAGGACGGCTGGGGAGATTCCAGCACCTCCGAGTCTAGGCACACACAGGATGGGCTCCTTGGGGATCCCGGCCCTGCCCCAGCCAGCGGAGGCCGGGTCTGGGGAGCAGCGAGGGGGGGGGCTCTGAGCACCCCGGGACAGGGTCCGCGTCGGCTCTTCTGGAAAGCAGCGGCTTTGATTTTGCACAGGAAGGAAAACTCTTTCCCAGAATCAATGAAGGACGCTGTACAGAAACGCCCGTGCGCCCACCTGAGAGGCGGCCCGGGGAGCCGCAGCATCGATTCTCAGAGGATCGGAAGGTGCCGGCAGCGCCGTGCGGGGCTCCAGGGTGTCAGCCAGACCCTGTGTCCACACCTTCACCACCTTCCTCCCCACCAGCCTGGCCCTGCCCCGCCTACCTCCCACGGGAGAGGAAAACAGGCCACACACCCATCCAACGTTGGTGAACACCACAGCTCCCTTCGCCTTCTTGCTGCACTGGGGCGAGGGACACACACACACACAGGCCTAGGAAGCTAGAGCCCCTTACACATTCAACTGAGAGAATCTGGATGGGAGATTGGCAAACTTCTCCCATAAAGGCCCAGACGGTTAACACTTTCCACGTCGCCACTACGGTCCGGTGATAGGCAAAGGAAACGGACGTGGACAGTTCCAATAAAACTTTATCGACAGGAGCAAGTCGTGGGCCAGAACGTAGCGGCCCCGATACAGAACGATTTTGTTCCATTTTCTTATTTGACAGATAGGGAAAACCAAGGCAGAAGTGGGACATGACTTCACCACAGTCACACACACATTGACCACGTCAGAGCCGTGTTTGAAAGGCAAAAGTGTACCTCTGTCTTCTCAAGCTCTCTCCCCTGCCCCATGCTGCCCCCACCCCCCATTCCCCACCCCCCGCCCTTTTCCTTCTGGCCTTCCTTCCCCTTTTTAACCTGCTTGACACCGGGAATACCTCACACAAATGAACACAGACCCTGCATTCATGCCCTTCCCAGCCTGGTCCGGGGCGAGGAAAACCACTTTTTAATGCCACTTACTTAAAGAACCCACATTAGATGGGCGCTCGTTTGTAAATATTAACCGTCTGCCACAGAACTCCCCGGTGAGAGGGAATGCCCTTGACAATGTGTTTCCTCTTTTTATAGGTGTGGAAATTATCTGTGGATTCATTGCGTAACTGGCCACGCTCATTGAAAAGAGTGGGAACGATGCGAGAATGTGAAGGAGAGGTGGAGAGAGGAACGGCCTGCGGTTCCAGTCTTCAAACGTGACTGTATTAGCAACCTGGAACAGCTTTAAATAAACATGGATGCAGCTAAGTGTGTGAGTGTGTGTGTGTGTGTGTGTGTGCTGTGTGTGTGTGTATGTGTGTGTGTGTGTGTGTGTGCTGTGTGTGTTGGGATAATAAATACAGGAGCTCTAGCCTTCTGATCACCGGTTGTAAGGCAAAATGAACATTCAGGTCCACCAAGCAACTTCTAATCTATTCTGGAACATTCTGGAGCAGAGCCTGCTCGCTAGCTGGAGTTCATGTGAGTTTCTCATGGGCCACAAGTCCAAGCCGGCGAGCTGAGGACCTGGGCTGGGAGAGAACCTGCCACGTGCTGTGCCCTGGCTCTAGGCCTGCGTCACCCAGCCCCGGTCTCCACCCCACAGCCACGGGCCACCACACACACGCACGTACACACACACGCACACACACACACACACGCCACCACAGCCTGTGGCTCTCTTGAGATTTTCTTGGAGATAGAAACCAAGTTGATTTGGCTCTGCTCAGAACCTTCTGGAACAATCACTGCATAGTTCCAAGCCCCAAGACCCTTGGACTTCTCGTCCGCTCTCTCTTGGCAGAAGGCAGCTTCCGGTATCCACAGAGTTAAGCATTCAAGCTCAGGAGAAAGGCTTTTTGGACAACAAACAGCCCTTTAAAAACAATATTTTGATGAGTTAAGTGTAAATGAATGAGAAACACATGGATTAAACCTTGCTTGATGTGCACATGGGTTTAATAATTATGGGGGGGGGAGGCTGGGGTAGGAGGAAGCCGGGCTGGAAAAGCCCTGTCTTGGGTTTTATCAAATCTAAAATGTTTGCGAAGTAATTTGAGACATTCCACACACACACACACACCCCAAACCCCCTCAAATGTAGCCAATCTTTTCTTTTTTTCCCCTTCCAGGTCCACCTTCAGCCACGTCCAACAAGCGACACTGGATGTTTCTAGTAAGATGGAGTGCTCCAAGGAGCCCAGGCCTCGTGGCTTCTGATTGGCTGAGCAGGAAGCCGTGATTTATGGGACCGAGTAAAGATTTATAGATTGCCATTATAACAAAATTCCTTCCAAAGCGAACAGTACCCAAGCGCCGCTTTATAAATATCTTTCCTGCTCGAAGCCTCTTTCCTCGTCACAAAACTCCCCTTCTTCTCCTTCTCCCCAGCCCCCCTTAAAGCCACAGAGACACCCCCCTTCCCACCCCCCCCACCGTCCCCAAACGAGGTCTCAGACCAATGCAGAGTGAGGGTATTAATTTTGCCGTGACTGAAACGTGTTTCACTTTGGATTGAGTTTTAAATGACTTGGGTTTATATAAACTGCGGGTCACGAGGAGGTTACGGCTAAAGGGCTCATAAGTTAGGTGAAGGGTAGAAGGAAGGGAATTTTATAAATGCTTATTGCCTTCATAAAAAGAAAAGCCAAGCCGTGTCCATGCCTAACACAGTCAAACACCCCATACATCAAGGCCTGCTATTTCCTACAGGAAGTGTCCCGTACTGATTTGGCAATCTGGCGGGCTTCTGTCTTCCCCTCCGCGGTCATGACATCATCTGTGGTTGGATGTCTGGTTAGGATAAGAAACCTCTTCCACATGTCCCCACCTCGGGGTGCCCCCCCTCCTGCCCCCAAATAGATTTTTGAGTCACTCAAAGCCCCGAAGGACCCTAAATCATTTGGCTTAACAGGCAGCAGAAAAGTGGGGTGAGAGGTGGTGGGGAGAAGGCCTTTCCGTTTTAATCGTTCATTCCCCCAGTGGCAAACCCATCTACCATGGTGTGCAGAACTATCTAGAACGGATTTTGCAGGGAGACGTGTGAGTGGAGCTTGTGGGCAGACACGTGCTTGCAAAACACTAATGGGCAAGTCGAGTATCTTAGCACACACACACGGCGTGGTAGTCCAGTGGCCCCCTAGGGGAGAGCCGTTGCTCAAACAAGCCCAGGCGGCTGTATCAGTCCACTCAGCCTCAGCAATGCTGCGTAACAACACGTTCCCCAAGTTCCTTATAAGGGCGAGCAATCACTGATTGGTCTCTGAGTGGTCGCTAATCAGCCAGGGTGGGGGGTGGATTTCAGGTCCCAGGTGGCGTCTGAGCCCCTGACCCTATGATGAGTTCAGACCCGCCTCAAGTCTTTTTCCTCTGCCCTGGGTCAGAGGTCACATGGATCCCGTGGCTGCCCGTCTGCTGTTCTCAAACACTGGAAGTGCTCAGTGTCTGTGTCACACGCTCGTGGGTGAGGACTGTCAGCGCAATGTCGTGGACGAAACCGTCCTCCCTCTGGCTGGGTCCCTTCCACCAACACAAGCCATGCGGCCGAGACCAGAGCCGCGGGGCCCGAGGTTCTGCTCCAGCGGTGGTGCCCCTCAGGTCCCCGAGTCGCAGCCCATGAACCACAGGATTGAACCAGCCACCCCTCCCAGGGTCACCGCGCTCCAGTGCTTTTGAGTCTGGCCGCAGAAAGCCATTGGCCAGTCTCAGAAGCCCCCCGTGGCTCCTCACCAGCACGACTGAGCTTGATGCCTCTACCCTCTGCTCCCGAATCTCCACCCAAGACAAGCCTGGCCTCCCCTCGAGAACCAGTCCAGAGCTGGGGGTGGCGGCGCACACCTGCAATCCCGGCTTCTGAGGAGGCAGCTTAAACTAAACAGCTCGCAGGCGCTCATCTCGTTAAGCAAGCTGGCATGGGTGACTCACGTCTGGAATCCCAGCTATGCGGGAAACAGAGGTAGGAGGCTCTCGGAGTATGAGACCCTCTGTGAAAAGTAGCAAGTAGAAAGAGCTGGGGAGGGGATCGCTGAGGGGGTCGAGTCCATGCCTAGCATGGAGGACGCCCTGGGTTCAAACCCCAGAACTGCACACAAAAAAGAAAAGAAAGGAAGACGTGATTCAAAGGCTGGACGTACTCCACGCCTTGCCACGAGCCAAGGGCGGCCTGCTCTGTTTCTCTTGTGATCCTCACTGCTCATTCTCCGGGGGGGGGGAGGGGAGGTATGACTCCTTACCCCCCCCCCAAAGAGTGGTGACAATTCCATCCACCAACCTGGCATCCTCAGCCGCCGCCCGCCCTGTGATTCCCGGGCTGCCTGGCCCTGGCGGGTGGGGCGGGCCGCTGCGGGTCAGGGGGTGAGCAAGCCATCTGCGCCGTCTCCCCCATAAAAACCAGAGCCAAGGAGGGGAGGCGCGCACGAGGTGTTGTTGGGCCATTCTGGAAGGAGCTTTCGCAACCACTTTGGAACAACAGCAAATCAATTATCCCGCGACCCACGAGTTAGTGGGGTACAAGGAAGTCGGGTTGGGGTGGCAGGCGGCTCTGGGCGACGGTGAGCTGGCGCAGCGATCTGGGGGTGACCCACATGCCTGGCCACCACGGTGACACAACCCATCGGGGTTCGCTCAGCGCCGCCATCTTCCCCCAGGGCACTTGGCTTTGTCCCGGAGGTCATCGGCCCACGCTCCACGTGTCCACCCCACACCCGACCCTCGCACGGGCTCTGCGGCACTGGCTGCTGATACCAGCTCTCTGAATGGGACACCGAGGTGTCCTTTGCCAGGGCCAGGTGAGAGCCCCGCCCTCCCAGACTGCGTTGCCCACCGAGCCCGCCCGTCCCCAGCTCCCGGGACTGCGCGCTTTCTGGGAATCAACCCTGTCTCTGCCCCCCCACCCCCGGCCCCAGAGGCCTCTGGGAAAGGCTGGTCTCCCCGGCGTCCATCCTAGCCACCCCAGCAGGGGTCAGGGGTCAGGTCAGCCAGGCCACAGAAGCTGGCTTTTCCCAGCCGTAAATCCTCTGTCCCCAACAGAGTCCCATCAGCCCCTGTCTCTAGAGCACGCGACCCCGGATAGTCTGGGGGTGGCAGGGCGCAGGGATGTCTGGGGCTGTGTCCTGACACCGACCGGTGGGTACCGCCGCCCGTGATGGCCTGACCCACGGGAATCCCTGCTCAGCCGGACGCCAGCGTCCTCTGTCCTCGGACGGCCGTCGGAGGATGTGAGGGAAGTCCTGGATTTGGGGGTTCGGTTGGCCGTCCATCCTTGGCATCATGAGGAGGTCGGGGGCGCAGGTGCTGGGATTTGCCACACATCACGTACTTAACCCACCAGAGGCTGCTGCAGAAAGACCAGCACTGAACGCGGCCTGCTGTCTGTTGGAAGCCACCACTCCATTCCTGACCCAGGTCCTTCTGGCCAAGAGCTGCAAGTGCCCTATTATTCCCTTGATTCTTTAAAAATAAATAAATAAACCCAAATGGGTCATAAGCAACGCACGGGTAGCTGCAGTGGTGCTGTCCTGACCCGGCCTCCCTCCTCCGGCCTCCCTCCTCCGGCCTCCACACACAGCAGCAGAGTTGGCCTGGCACGTAATGAGATTGGACTCGGGCTGCTCCCCCCAGATTCCCGACCCAGTTGCCCCAGACTGGGCCCCCGTGGCTCACCTCCCACCTCCCTTCCTGACACATGTGCGGGCCCCCACAGGGCCTCGCACGTGCTGCCTAGAACTCACAGCCCATCCCACGCGCTCCGAGCTGCAGAGACTCTGTTCAACCCTCACGGACGGCCTCCCTGGCTGGCTCCTGTGGGAGACACACTGGTGGTGCCAATCAAACATACCTGCCGAGCTCCGCACACGTGGCCTCTCCCTTGCCTGTGAACGGCGCCCCGCACCTTGTGAGCCGCGGCAGGGTCACCCAGACGGGACCGCGATGTGCAGAGATGCGGGTGAGGTCTGCGAGCCGCACGGGCCTTGCACACGCACAGACCCCGGTGCCCGCGTGGGCCCTGCGCGTGCCTGGCCAAAGCCCAGCCTCGCCCAGCTAGTGTCCTGACGCTCCCCAATGCAGAGCTCGGCCTCGACCCCGGACATGAACCCCCCCCCCCGACCCGGCCGCTGCCCTGGTGGCCTGCACCCTCCTTTGCGGCCTGTCTCTCTGTCTCTGGCAATTGTGTATATTTGGCTGTGTTTACGAGCCAGGCCGGGCCTCCTGGGCACCCCCAGCCGCCTTGATCACAGAAATCCAACGCCTGACGCCCAGGCTTTAGAGACGGGAGGGTCCAGATTAGGAGAATTAACCACCGTGACCCCAGCTCATAAAGCAGGCCCCACCGCCGTGCGGGCCCGGGGCCGGGGAGGGGCCAGAGGGCCAGCTTCGGCAGCCTGCAGCCAGAGCGCCGGGCGGGAAGGCTGCGTGTGTCGAGGTCCAGGCGTGCAAGCGCAAGCGTGCAGTACGTGTGTCTGTGGGTTTAAGCACCCGTGCGCTGCTCTCTCGTCAGCATGCAGAGGGCTTCGCGTGTTCTCTGCACACGGCACGGTTCTTTCTTTCTTCTCCCCCAACTTCCACACAGCCACATGGACCCCGCGTCTCCCCGAGCCGAGAGAAGCCAGCCTGCTCTACCCCACCTCCCTGCCCTCCACTGGCCTACTAAATACCAGCCGCTGCGCGAGACAGCGCCAAAGAAACAGGAACGTCAGAGGAAGGGGCTTCTTCTTCTCTTCTTGCGGGGGCTGGGGGGCGGGGAGGAGGCCTTTCTCTTCTAACTTTTACATTAACTGAGAAAGAGAAGAGCTAGGCCCGGCACCGGTCACTCCGGGGTCTAGGGAAGCCGGCAGAGGCGGAAGGATCGTGATCCAAGGCTGTCTGGGGGCAAAAGCAGGAGACCTTCTTTGAAAAGAAACTGAAAGCAAGAGATCAGGAGGCATGGCTCAAGAGGCAGAGCACCAGCAGGGCAAGCAACTCATGTGAGTGCGAGACCAGGGGTGGTTCACTTCCAGACACAGACAGACACACAGACACACAGACACACACACACACACACACACACAGACACACACACACACACACACACACACACAAGCTCTGCAGAGCATTCGTACAGCTCAGGGTAGAGAAAACAGGAAAATCCACGTCGTGGATGCACTCACCAGGGATGCTAAATGCAGGCTTTTATCTGCAACTGGACTCTGAGAAGATGCCCCAGACCCGCAGCCCAGGGGCAGGAAGGCCCTGGAGCCCATCAAAAACAGCAAACGAAGACACTTGCTTCTGATTCCCTCCCATGGCAGCCCCTGGAAAAGCCCCCAGTCCCCAGATGAAGTCGGAAGGAAAACATTGCCAAGGACAGCGTGAAGATGAAGCCGGTCCAGCCAAGATGAGGCCCATGACAGGGCAGGACCTTCCTTCCACTGGGGTCACCTGTGGTTCTACTTTTCTGAGGCTGCTACAGCCCTGGGTTTGCAAATGCCAGCCACAGAGGGGTCCCGGCACCCAGCCCCTCACAGAGCTCTGTCGTCCTGTCGCTGGCCAGCAAGCCCCTGCCCCACCCGTCCAAGGTACATGGGAACACTGTGCTTCACACCGTGGGGGAGCAGGACTTAGACTGGAGCAGGAAAGTGGGAAGAGAGAAAGGAAAGAGCTTTTAAGGGAGAAAGCGTGGGGAGAGACTGCGGGCTGCATGAGACGGAGGAACATGTTTTAAAGGCACGGCGGACAGACGGGGGGAAAACGGAAGGGGTAACACTGACCGAGAGGCATTGCGCTCATTCCCTGACTTGTGGAGTTGAAACCCCTTTGTACAAGCACCTAGAAAATAACTGCAGGATGGACATAGCCGCACCCAGGAGCTGTGTCAAGGATGGTCTAGAATGCGCTTTGCGGAACGAAACACTGTAGGTACACAAGTGGAAGGTGACAGCTGGGCATGGTTGTGCATGCCTGTAGTTCTACAACTCGAGAAGCTACAAACAGGAGGTTGTCAAGTTCCAGGCCAGTCTTGACTATATAGCCAGACTCTGTCTCAAAAAAAAAAAAAAGGAATAGCAATAATAAAACATGTACAAATGCAAGTACACCACCATCATTATTTATGCCCAAGTAATATTTCTTTTTAATTGTACTTCTTTGGCAGGACTGGGATCTGAACTCGGAGCCATGATTTGGCCCAAGCAGGATTTTCACTTGACCTACATCTACAACCTTTTTTGTTTTAGTGCTTTTTGTCCCCCCCCCCCCCGAGTCTTGGGTTTTACCCATGGCTGAACCTCTTGCCCAAGGCTTCTGCATACTTGGGATTATAGGCACGCTCCACCATGCCTGTCCCGGTCTATCGCATTTGACGCTTCTTTATTTTTTTCTGAGTAAAGTTACTTAGTCCGTACAGATACACGTAACTCAGAAAACAGAAACCGTTCCTAATTTTATCACATGGAAAAGCACCGCTAACGATCCTAAATTACCTTCATTATTTTTTTGTCTGTATGGAGACATACATAACGGGGAATGTTCACAGACATGTAAGACATGGCTAGCCGGGGTGGAGGTATAGCTCAGCCAAGAGCACAGGGCTAGCCTTGGCACAGCCTGGGTTCGATCCTCACAAAACAAACACCGTGCTGCAGAAAACACGCGTCTCTGCGTCGGCGTAAATGACGTTATCACATTTCATATGGGAAACGAGACAGTGTGAAATACCTTTCACTTCTCCAGGAGAGGCCGGCCCCTCACACAGGGATTCCCATCAGCCTTGGGGCAGGCTGGGAGAGTGCATTACACCTCTACCCCGTCCCAAGTCAACGCATTCCCGCTGACCTCCCCCAGGGGGCGCTGACCCCAGCGCCGTCCTCCTGCCAAACCCGGGCCTGCTACCACTGCCCGGCCTCTTACTGGTAAGTAAACGAGTCCACCGCAAGTCCTGCAATGATACCTTTTCTTTTCAACAGATTTGTGATCTTAATGATTTTGTTAGCCGTTTAAAAATAATGCCAGCGTACCGGAGCTCACCACGAACAGAACACAGACACACAACGCCCCCGGCCTCCTGTGAACTCCATATACACACACACACACAGGACACACGCACGCATGCACGCGCACACACTTGAACGGCAAGGTGATCCGCTCCGCTGGCCTTTCCCCAGGCTCTTCTCAGGCCCAGTTTCTACTGACAACATTTATTTGTATTCCTAGACATTTTATTTGATTTACTCTTAGCCCTCTTCATAAAAAGGGCGCCAAGTTGCAAGCACTTTTGGGGGGCACTTTTAACTGAGTATGGCGACGTTGGGGGTCACGCAGGCGGCCCCCCCTGCTGGCGTGGGATGGGGGCTCCCACACACACTACTTGAGAAATGACACCAAGAAACAAAGACAGGAGCCAAGACACCCTAGAGGCTACAGGGCTGCGTGGGACAGGCCTCGACGTGGACAGGCTCTCCTGCCGGAGTGGGGAACATGGTTTGGAACCAGCATGCGGAGCACGATACGGGCCACCCCCAAACACCTCCAGATCGTCCTCAGCAGGGGATTCTGTCTCTTTTTTCTTTTTTTAACAGGCGGGCATGGTTCAGTCACACCCACTGTGGACGGCACAGTCTGAAAAAGCCTGCACCCTTCAGAGCTGTCCCCCCCCTTCCCCGCCACCTCCCTCCCCCCCATGGGGGAGCCGGGTCTGGAGGCCTCCACAGCTGTTTTACAGATAGAATGCTGTGTTTGTGCTTAGGCTGGCTGAGACCTCGATCCTCCCATCTGCTGGGACTACAGGCAGGCACCACCATGCTCTACTTATACATACGTGTGTATGTGTGTGTGTGTGTGTGTGTGTGTGTGTGTGTGTGTGTGTGTGTATTTGTCAATTCACTATGTTGGCAAGCCCACGGGAAAACAAGTGCTCCCATTCTACACTGGTGGAGAGCGTAAACCAGTACAACGGCCACAACATGCCATTTGGCACAATTTCAACCTAAAGACCAGCAAGTCCTTCTTGGAGTCTTCGCCCAAGCCAAGCGCTACGACACGCACCGCAGCAGTGGCTGCAGCAAAATGCAACACGGAAACACAGCCACGCCGTGGCATGCCACAGAGCTTTATAAGGAGAGCAAACTGATCTAATAGGTCCTACAAGAAACAGCTCTCCCTCCGTGCCAGGAGCAAGCCAGACCTGTGCCGTAGCATTTGCATTAAAACGAACGCTGCACAGGTTGTTTGCATGTCTCATTTGCATAGAGGATCTCTGGAAGAGCAGGCAAGAGACAGCTAAGCAGTAGCTTCCTGGGAGCGGACCTGGCTGCAGGACCCAAGCCCCCCCCCCCAGCATCCATCAGAGATCAGCAAGCTGGACACAGAGAATCTCCGAAGTGCCCACAAGACGTAAGCAAAAGAACCCGATGGCATCATGCACGTGCGCCAGGCCCAGTGTGACCGCAGCCCCCGAGCCGAGGCCAGGGCTGCAGCCCGGGGGTGGGGATTCCCCCGGGATGCCCAGGG